CAACCTGGAATTAAGGAGAAACTTCTTAACAGTGAGGACAATTAGCCATTGGAACAGTTTGCCTCCAGAAATCGTGGGCTCTCCATCACTGGAAGTTTTTAGGAAGAGAGTAGACCAGTGATGGCTAACCTTTTTGCCGTCGCGTGCCAAAAGCAAGGGGGAATGCAGGGGGGTCACATGCCTGCATGCCCACACCCATAATTCAATGCGCCCAGCCCCCCATGCATGCGCACGTGACCCCCCCTGCATTCCCCCCGCTTTTGGCACGTGATGACACGGTGGGACCGGTAGGCCCATTTTTCACCCTGCCTAGGCTCCAGAGTCTTTCTAGGAGCCTGGGGAGGGCAAAAACGGCCTTCCCCCTCCCGGAGGCCCTCTGGAGGCGAGAAACGGCCCGTTTTCCAATTCCTGATGGGCCTGGAAGGCCTATAAATCAGCTGGTTGGCGTGCGCATGCACCTGGAGCTGAGCTAAGGCAATGCTCGTGTGTCCACAGATATGGCTCCACATGCCACCTGTGGCACGCGTGCCATAGGTTCGCCATCACAGGAGTAGACAGTCACTTGTCTGAGATTGTATAGATTCTCCTGCTTAAGCATGGGGCTGGACTAGAAGACCTCCAAGGTCCCTTCCAGCTCTAGTCTATTCTAATTAGGATGACAGTTCTGAGCCAGTTTTTCTTTTTTCGATTTGGAATAAGAAGGAGAGCTTCTCAGGAGATGTATTTTGCTTTGTGCAGGTTTCAGCTGCAGCTTGTCAAAAATCTCTCAGAATTCCTTCGGTGGAAATGCCCAAAATGTGCTTCATTACGAAGTTGTAGACCTGATTTTGTGAACCTGATCATCTTTGGACTATAAACTGTGGTGGCTGGTAATGGCTGGTAATATCAAGGAGTGATTGTGTGGGGAAAAAAAACATACATCACCCTGCGGTAACATGGAAGACAGTGAAAAAACGAAATCGATAAGAAGAAATCATTCCAGTCCACAGAATTGTGTTTTGGGTTTAGTGCTTGATTTGAAAGAGGTACATGAAGTTTATGGTGGTCATTTCCTTCCAGTTGAATGGTCATTAATGGCGTCAATTTCTCTGTCCAGCAGTCTGAGTCACAGTGGTGCTGAGGTCTCTCTCTCTCTCTCTCTCTCTCTCTCTCCCCTCCCTCCCCTTCCCTCCCCTCCCCTCTAGGGTTTTTTGGGGGGGAGGAATTAAAGACAGCAGTGGCAGGGCAGGACCTAAACTGGGTAAAGATAGGATAATCTATATTTTTTAAGATGTTTTAGGCCAGTGTTTCTCAACCTTGGCCGCTGGACGATGTGTGGACTTCAACTCCCAGAATTCCCCAGCCAGCCATTCTGGGAGTTGAAGTCCATACATCGTCCAGCGGCCAAGGTTGAGACACACTGTTTTAGGCAGAGATTCAGATAATTAACATTTGGAATGTTTTGTGTTAAGATTACTGTTTACAGTAACCTTAGTTATTAGTTATAACCAACAGTTAATTCTTATTTCCCTCATTAGCTTTGCTTGTCAGACACCAGGCTGAGAAGGTCACGGGTGGAACCCAGGACCTGCAACTGACCCAAATTTTGGTCACGTGACTGTGGGAATGCTGCAACACTCGTAAATGTGAGGACTGTTCATAAGTGACTTTTTTCAGTGCCCTTGCAAACTTAAATAATCACTAAATGAATGCTTGTAAATTGAGGTCTACCTGTATTATTAATCTTCTCATCGTTCCCATCACCCATCTCCTCCCACTTATGATTGTATGACTGTAACCTTGTTGCTGGTATCCTTACGATTTATATTGATATTGTTTCCTGATTGCTTATTTGTACCCTATGACTATCATTAAGTGTTGCATCTTATGATTCTTGATGAACATATCTTTTATTTTATGTAAACTGAGACAAATTCCTTGTGTGTCCAATCACACTTGGCCAATAAAAATTCTATTTTATATTCTATTCTACTTGGAGAGCAAATAATAATCAAAGGATGTTGCCTTCAGCCTTCCTTAAGGCTTTTCCCAGAACAATTGTCCAGTTTCAGTAACACCTTAATGGAGTGTATCAACTACCACAACCTCTTCATGCACTGAGCTACAATTCAGATTTTTCAGGCCATGGCCATATGAATTAAGACTTCTAGGAGTTCTGGAGTTCCCGCTTGTAACGTATGGCTGTTAAAGTTGGACCATAAGAAAGGCTGAGCGCCAAAGAATTTGAAGCCTTTGAACTATGGTGCTGGAGAAGACTCCTGCGAGTCCCTTGGACTGCAAGGCGATCCAACCGGTCAGTCCTAGAGGAGATCAACCCTGACTGCTCTTTAGAAGGCCAGATCCTGAAGATGAAACTCAAGTACTTTGGCCACCTAATGAGAAGGAAGGACTCATTGGAGAGGAGCCTAATGCTGGGAAAGATTGAGGGCAAAAGAAGAAGGGGACGGCAGAGAATGAGGTGGCTGGATGGAGTCACTGAAGCAGTAGGTGTGAGCTTAAATGGACTCCAGAGGATGGTAGAGGACAGGAAGGCCTGGAGGAACGTTGTCCATGAGGTTGCGATGGGTCGGACACAACTTCGCAACCACCACCAACAACAACAACAAAGGAGTTCTGGAAAGCATCAGGTTGGGGAAGACTGAACTGATAGGACTTCTGTCCCATAACAGCAATAACACTTCTGTGATTAATCAAGATATCCCTCTAAAATTCTTCCGCCACATGGGCAAAGTTGGAAATAGATGGGAAGACAACCCTGTCTGTAATGAGCCCATAAATGACACCAGCATACGTGGAAATGATTGTCCATTGTATTCAAAATGTAAAAAGGACATTAAGTATTGTTTAGCTTGGAGTCTAATGCTCGCGGGACCTTTATGTGGAATATTGGCATGTAGAGAAATGGCAGGTCCTTTCAGCAAGCAGTTTAATCAGTCTAACGGATAATAAATATCAACTGAGAAGCAGCGGGAGAGTGAGTCAGATGCATATGCATTTATTGGCTCTGTGTACATCTAGCTTCTTTTCAGCTGGACGGACTGTGATGCTGTCAATTCTTCTAAATAGGAACATGATTCTTCAAAAGATTACTTGAAATACGAAGACACTGAATTGCATCTGCCTCTTAATAAAATGTTTGCCAGAAAAGATGCTACAGGTCCTTCTAATTTTTAACATTATTTTTATCTGTGTGGCCTTTAGAGAGCACCACATTGGGGAAGACAGGTGTAGACCACAAAGGCTTCTAAGTCCATACACTAATTTTTCAATTGGGGAAAAAGCAGAGACATTGTTGTCCCAGGGAAAAGGTTTGTGATGCCATCAAGTGCATCAGACATCTTCCATTTGATCTTCTCTTTTTCGTCTTTTTCAAATGCTTGTTCCTCTCTAACCTTTCTGGCTACAATGTTATTTTTGAAAGTGTGCAAATGGTTAGCTGAAATCCCCAAAGCAAGGAGGGGTTTAAGATTCTGAATGGGGAGAGAAATGCATGGCTCCTTTGCATACTGGAATGAATGAAATCTGCATACCCATTATGCCGTTTCCTCTCATAGAAGAGTGATCTTGCGCAAAATGCAAAATTAAGCCAATGGGATTTTTGTTTTGAAAAAAAGTTAAAACAATTTACCTACATAGTATTGCATAATGTGAGAGAATCGTTGAAAACTTGGCAATTTTTGAATGTATGCAAAATACAGTAGCTTCCTTTGTCTTTTCTTTCTGTTGTAAAATTCTGCTTTCCATACATAGGATTCAGGCATTTATTTATATTTAATAGAACTGTAGAATCCTTATGATTCAATTTCAGAAGTAATTTCAGAGTGTAGGTGCACGAACAGCATTTGTCTGTGGCCCTTTAAAGTAACTGTGTTTTTTCCCAGATCATGAAATTAAGCTAACTACCACAGAACTTGCTACTAGGTAATAATGTGTTATTTTAAAGCTAAGCGTATCATTCCAATAATTTGTAGAATTGGAAGGCTAGTGGAGAAGGGATATGGGGATACCTGTTTGGGGTATAAGAAGAGATAATTTGTTGTATTTTAAGAGGAGGTGATAAGTTACTAAAATTCTTTATTTCTGTACCTGCAAGCAAATAAAAAAAGAAAGTGAAGAGCATGTGTTCTCAGACATAATATTGCATGTTTTAAATATGGGATTACATGTGATATACATATATAACCCAGCTAAGAGACTTAGCACAAAACCAACTCCTATAATGTAGGAAAATATGTTCGTAAGAGGCAGTGTAAGGAAATTCCCTCCCCAAAATTCTTTAAAGAAATTTCTTGAGCTTATTTTGATTGGCAAATATTATTTAAAATTCTATAAAGTCAATTTCACTCAAATCTGGGATATTTTCAACTTTCTGGCAACATCATCCACCATTAACCATGCTACTCAGAAGACCTCCGATAACATACTTATTTTTAAATTAAATTTAATTGCAATGTAATATTTGCATCTCATCTGAGACAAACACATTTTCCCCCACTCAAGCCTCCTTGTAAGATGCGGTTCCAACCCAATTCTCTGTAGTGCACATTTTACTCATTGTTTAACAACTGCTTTGTAACTATTTGTATAAAACATTATTTTAGTGTCAAAAGTACATAAATGTTTCATGATTTTTAGGGTTTCCCCCCACTTTTTCTAATTTTATTGTTTCCCTTCTTTTTTAGACTCTTTTAATACTGTTTAACCTTTTAGGTATATGAAATACTTAACAATTTATATAAAATACATTTTCTCCTTTATCAATGTTCTTTGTATTGTTTGTATTTTTACTTGCACTAATTGAATGATTAACTGTATTGATCTAAAATATAATAAAATCACTACCTTTCAAAAGAAGACTACAGCAATAACAAAAGGGCCTATTGATACTGGCAACTGTTCCCATGTCAGAAAACAACATATGTTTTGCACAAGTTGCTTTTTTGAAATAATCCTCAACATTAACTACAGAAATCCAACCACAGAAAAAAAATAGAATCCAGTTAAGTTATAAAACCAAGACACCAATGTTTTAATGATATTCTTGCATAGCATGATAAAACAAAGAGAGAAGGATGTGTGGGCATCACATTTATTAGTACAGCTCAAGAATTGACAACTTGTTTTTCGTTTTTATTCTTTGTGGGTCTTTTCATAGAAATCTGGCAAGCCTTTAAAGCAATTTACTTTAAAAAAAAAACAAGACAAAGGACTGACACATTTATTACCATGAAATTGCAAGACAGAAGTTAAACAAAATAACTCAGATTATTCACATTTTTAAAGTGATTTCCCTAAGGCCACAAAAGGAATTTAAAAGGCCAAGAATAAAGTTGGAGGGGCAAGTGTTGGGCTTTTAAACTAGAATCTGATCTCGGGGTAGAAATTTTACACTACAAACTCTATTTCCCAGCCCCATAGGAGTAGAGTTATGGCAATTACAAAGGATTATGCCCACAGCATAGATAAAATAAAAGATTTTAGGTCAAATTTTCCTTGTTCTAATATTAGAACTTATACATTGTTGAGTTCATGGTGAGCTGAGCTTGGTAGTTTTCTTGTGGACAATTCTATACCAGGATAGGATATATCCCTGGTGCATATGGCCACTAATGAGAATGGCAGAGGCCATTCTCACATGCACTGATGATGTTACCCAAAGTACTAACGAAATGTCTGCAAGAATATACCCTCTAACACCAAGAACTCAAAAGTACTGTAGAGAATAAAGATGACGACTTTGATGGAGATATGCAAGTTCCATTGCCAGGACAATGAACAGTAACACATATTTTAAGTCCACAACAGGCAGATAATATTCAGAAGAGAAAACTTTCTAATTCTCTGAAGTAGGAAGAAAAGGTATAACATAAACAGACTTGCAAGATTTTGTTGTTATTATAGTTTTAGCGGTCTGGTTTGGTCTATCTAGTGGACAAATATCTTGCATCATTCATGTACTTTCAGCAGTCCCATTTTTATTTCAAGGCTGGGTAAATCCTATAACAAGGACATTTTTTTCCTCCTTTTTCCAATGCTTACAGAAGCAGCAATTTCAGGCAAAACATCCAAGCACAGGACCATTCTTCATTATAATAAAGCTACTTTGGGCTGATGGATCTTCATACATACATACATCCAAATAGCATCATCAAATAATTAATGATTTGATGTGACCAAAATGTCACATTGTACTAAACTATTGTTCTATTAACTGTCACTTTACTGACTGCAAATCCTGGCTTCACAATACACAGAACCAAAATAAAGGTACGTTTTACTTTTTTTTACTTTTTTTTACTTTATATACTGCCCTACTCCCAAAGGACTCGTTTTAACGTTTTAACGTTGCGATGTGTGAACCCAGTCAGTGATAGGACTTTTTCACGGTTGCCAATCTAAATGTTTATAGCATTTGGCAGTAAAGTGAATATTAGGTCTCTGCAGCACCGCAGATGCAAAATGCCACTTCAGGATGTCCAGGGAATGTTCATTTTCCTATGACTACCAACAAAAATAAAGGATTCCCCTTTCCAGTCGTGTCTGACTCATCTCTGTTTCTTAGCTGAAGGAGCCAGCGTTGTCCGAAGAAAATTTCCATGGTCACGTGGCCAGCATGACTATATGCCAAGGTGCACAGAACACTGTTACCTTCCCACCGAAGTGGTACCTATTTATCTACTTTCATTTGCATGCTAGGTGGGCAGGAGCTGGGGCAAGTAACGGGAGTTCACCCATCACATGGCGCTCAAGTCTCGAACCCGGGCTGCCAGCTTTCCAGCTGACAAGCTCAGTGTTTTTAACCACTAAGCCATTGTGCCTACCAATAGAATTGGATGGCTACTAATTCTACTGGATGACTACTAAAAGAAGAGCTTATTTGTAGTTGGACTGTGGGATCCTTGGTGCTCTCTGAGCTTGGTTGTTTTCCTGCAGACGTTTTATTACTAAACTAGGCAATCTTATAAGTGCTAGAAGGGAGTGAAGTTGCAAGAAAACAATCAAGCTCAGAGAGTACCAAGGATCCCACAGCTTCCTACAACTATACGGTAACTTTCAAGGTCAAATGTACAATCTGGGAAAAGATGCAGCTACTTTAAAGAGTCAAACTGGAGTTATGTTAATGTCCTGTCATATATTCCTGAACACGTTTTTGCCTGTGTCTGAAACCACCACACAGCCTTAATGAATAGTTTCCCCTTCTCAATATAGCTGGATTCATGGTTAGTCAAACTCTGAGTTTAGTTGGTTTGCCTGACATTGTGAGAAATGGAAGTGACTCCCACATATTTATTCAATTAGGAGGGGGGGAAAAGCAGTAGCCACAAAAATGGCATACTTTGCTTGTCGATTATATGCTGTGAAATCTAAGCTATGGTCGCAAATTCTGTAAACCTGTTGCTTTTATTACAGGCTATACACAAAACCATGAGGGTTTAAACTATTGGTATTTAGAAAAAATGAAATGGTACATTACTGGCACAAAAAAATGGGTGTCAAATATATTGTATCAGATGTGTAGGCATCATGTGCTTTCTAATATTTTACTGAACAAGGGAACTGGAACTCCTCTATAAATATTAAATTTAAAAAGCTGCAAAGCATATCATATCTTTTTAAAAATCATCCTCCTTACTTTTCATAGCAGTGTTTCTCCCCCTCAGCAAATTTAGGATGTGGGGATTTCAACTTCCAGAATTCAAGCTAGCTAGGGAATTCTGGAAGTCGAAAGTCCACATATCCTGAAGTTGCTGAAATTGAGAAACACTCTCTATAGTTTTCTTAGACTGCAAATCCAAATCAACAGAACATTTGGGACTGACTGATGATTAAGGGAATTTAGCAGGAGCATACAGTTAGTTCTCGACTTACAACCATTCGCTTAGCGACTATTTGAAGTTACAATTGAACTGGAAAAAAGTGACATATCCGTTTTTCACACTTACAACTGTTGCAGCATCTGCTTAACAACTGTGGTAGGAAAGGAGTAATAAAATGGGACAAAACTCACTTAACAATTGTCTTACTTAGCAACAGATATTTGGGGCTCAGTTGTGGTTGTAAATTAAGGACTCCTACATTTTCACTCAAGCTAGGCTAGACAGTTAAAGGCTTTCGTCCTCCATGTTATTACATTACAGGTAGTTCTTCCTTAACAGCCATTTTTTTCCACAACTGTTCAAGGTTACAGCGATGCTGAATGAGGAGACTTAAGACCACTCTTCAAAGTTCCATCTGTAACAGCATTCTCAAGGTCACATGATCATGTTTTTTAGGCACTTGACAAACTTCTCGCAGTTCTATTGCAGCATCTCACAGCCACTTGATTGCCATTTGCAACCTTCACCGCTGGCTTCCGACAAAGTCACTGGGGAAGCCAGCGGGAAGTTGAAAACGGCGATCACGTGATGTCGTTGCTTGATGACTGGGTGAGATTTGCTTAACAACCCCAACTACACAACTGCCATTGGTTAAGTTGGCACAATCATGTAATGCCATGCTTTACAACTGTGTTACTTAGTGGCAGAGTTGCCAGTCCCCAATGAGTGTTGTTAAGCAAGGACTACCTGTATAAGTGCAAGTGCAAGTGCACTAACTCAGATAATATCATTGTGGGTCTTGATTTTCAAGCTGGTTTGATGAAGTAATGCAGCTAGAACACCACTGTTGCAGAAAGGTGCATCTTATAACCTTAATCAAAACTACATTGTTCAATTCTTCGTTAGAAGCATTTGTCTGTCTTTGTGAAATCATTCACAAGAAGGGACTTTTTAACAAATCATCAGTAACTGTTTGAACTGCTGCCCAGGTGGGATGGGTGGGAGATGGGAATAATTTGAAAGTGGGTACAAATTGGGCCAAGAGGTCCCTTGCACGAAAGGTGTAATAAAAACTAGAACTCTCAGTGTAGTCAAGATTCACAGCTATGAAACTATTCTCCAAAGTATTTTCAAAATAAGCAGATCCATTTTTGTCACTAATGAGGAAAAGTGAACACAAAGTAGAAATTAAAACAATTATTTGCTAACAAAACAGCCAAGAGAATCTTGTCTTCCCTAAACTGGTTTTAGACCATAATTCATGTAATCTCCACCCAAGATGCCCAAAAGACATTTTTGGCTGAAAATTTGAGGAGATGAACCAGGTTGGGGAAAATGGATATAATACAAAAAAAATATCAGTGTGACTCAATGAAGGCAACTGGGCTGCCCACAGTTAAGATTGTAGCATGAAGGGGAACAAAACAAATAAAATATGGTTTTCACGTGTCACGTAATATTATCTGCAGACAGGGAGACGTTTCAAATATATTAGTATCTCTTCATATAATTATGCTGACGAGTTGTCCGAGGCAATTCCAGATTCTTTTATGATTCCCGTTTCAGAAGTACATATGCCCCCATGACAGCTAAGAGAGCATACTGTGAAAAAACAAACACATGGAATATTACTGCGTGTGGGCACCACATTCCATAGCACATCTCATAAACTAAATATGTTTTTGAGGAACGCTATCTGAAACATTTCCTGATGGCTTCTCCAGAAACTCAATGGGGAAGCCAGTGGAGAAGGTAGCAAATCACTGGTATCCCCCACCTGGTTTCATTTCCCTACACTTATGTCACACCCAGTCACTCATGCATCCATATACACCCTGACTCGCACTGTATCCCCACGCAATGTCCCTGACCTGCAAGGGGTCACTTGTGCATCCTCCTGTACCCTCCACAACTTTTTCCTTTTGTATACCCTCTCTAACCTGCATGACGCCCCTTGTGCACTCCTGGCACCCTTGTCTACCCATGCCACATCTCCCATGCACCCTCCCTGATCTGTGCCTCTTATACTCCCCATCACATCCTTTCCGACCCCCACAAACCCCACCTCTGACCAACAGTATCTCTTATGCACCTCTTCACACCTTCCCTGACCAGCACCTCCCACCCACCACCCCAACTTATGTGTCACACAAATTTCTCCCAATCCGTGTAGTGCCTCTCACACACACCCTTGCACCACCTCCCATGTTCCTCCTTGCATATTGGTGCACCCTCCCAGGCCTTCTCTGACCTACGCAGCACCTCATGTGCACCCTGCATTCTTGTGCATCCTCTCCAATCCACATCTTACACCCTCAGTGAACCACCAAGCAACTCTCACACACCCTTCAGTAAACTAGTTTCAAATTGCTGACAATGTGCAAAAACTGGCTATGTTCTCCTCAAATCTACCCTGTTTCCCCCAAAATAAGAAATCCCCTGATAATAAGCCCAACTGGGCTTTTGAGCACATGGCAATAAGGCCAAGCGCTTATTTCAGGGTTCAAAAAAATATAAGACATGGTCTTATTTTCGGGGAAACACGGTATTTGTTTAACTATTAAATTAACATACAGCCTGACTCCTAACATCCCTTTTGGTCCCACCACATGGGTTGAAAATATGACTCCCATAATTCTCAGCCCGAAAGAGAAAACTATGTGAATGGTAAACGTCAAGCAACAGGATAAAAATTATTAGATATTATTTTCTCTTCTTGCCTAAACAATAATGTTCATTCTAAATCTAAAGATCATTTCATAGATTCTCAGCTAAATCTGTACCCACCTTAAATTTTGGATAGTCATTCATGATTATGGTTACCATTCCAACATATGGCAAAAACCTAATTGAAAGAAATTAAACATAGTCATCTTATTAATCAATACAGTCATTGACTAAACATTGGTGAACAGTAATTGTCAGGCATGATTGATTTAATATATTAGTAACTGAATTTAGATCCTGTCACTCCATATGAATAGTATCAAGGTTGCTAATATTAAATATAAGATACGGTATTAGGGTAACACATAACCACAAAGAGTTTAAAAAATACACAAGCTAAAATGTTACTTTAGTAAACCTCTTAAAACACTGAAAGCTACAAATGTTGCTGCCTGCATGAAGCCACATACAGTTAGTCCTCGACTTACAACCAGTATGACACTTAATGGCTTCAAGGTTTGCTTAACAACTGTAGTGTTCGCTTAGCAACATGGTGGTTTGCTTAATAACTGCCAGGGGGAGGAAAAAGGCACCCGAAGGCCAGAAAAGGAATAATGGATGGAAACTGATCAAGGAGAGATCAAGGAGAAATAAGGAGAAATTTTCTGACAGCGAGAACAATCAACCAATGGAACAGAAGTTGCCTTTGGAAGTTGTGGGAGCTTCATCACTGAAGGCTTTCAAGAAGAGACTGGGCTGCCATTTGTCAGAAATGGCATAGGGTCTCCTGCTTGGGCGAGGGGGTTGGACTAGATGATCTACAAGGTCCCTTCCAACTCTGTTAATCTGTTAATGTGATGATCCACTTTATGACCATCACAGGCAGGCTCCATTACGTTTGTAAGTCAAGGACTACCCATAAGACTGTATTATTAGCCCTGTTAAACCAAACCAAAACCCATCTTAATTCACCATTTTGTTACACCAGATATTTCTGGGGTTCTTTTGCCACTATATCCCCTGCAAACTGCATTTAGAAGCAACTTCCTATTTCCTCCTTGTCTCTCCTCCAACTACCAAACAGATTTGAAGCAGATTAACTTTCTGAAGATCTGCCAAGATCTGGAAGGCGCCGCTACCTGCTGCGATTCTCCCTCAAGCTAGACATGACTTCTGGGAACTCCTGGACGTGTTCAAATATTTTTTTTTCTTGGAAACAGTATGGAGGCTATTGTATTCTTTCTAGATTTTTTTTTTTTTAACTTCCCAATCTAGACTTCGGGTCTTGGATTTCCTAACTGTTTCTCATCTAGAAATACTGTTATTTGCTGTAGACATCAAAATAATAATTTAAACCAGGGGTGTCAAACTGGAGGCCTATGGGCCAGGTGGTCAGGTGCAGGCCACGCCCACCCTAGCTCCACAAAGGGGAAAAAGGTCTCAACGTCACATGACGCGGCGAATTTGACACCCGTGATTTAAACCAAAATTAGGGTGACAGGCGGTGGCGGTATTCAGCCAGTTCTATCCGGTTCAGGTGAAGCGGTAGTGGCGGTGGCGGGAGGCTCCGCCCACCCGCCCGTATGTAATCACGCCCCATTTTTGATTCTCTGCGTCATTTTTGATGGAGATGGCGCGTGCGCTCACATTTGCGAACCAGTAGCGAAGGTAAGTGGATACCACCCCTGTTGAGAGGTATTTCCAGCTCAAAATGCTACCAATTTTCAGACAATCCTTGTTGTCAAAAGGGGCTCCCAGTGCCCTTCAAAATAATTTGGAGGATTGTACGTGGCCCCGAAGCCTCTGGTGACTCATCCTGAAATAAATGTATTTTCCAGATCAGACCACGATGCTAGCAGGGGAAAAACAAGGAGAGAATTCCATCTGCGTAACTCACTGATATTCCAGCGCTGACAAGATAGGCTGCTTGCACAATCCAAGTTTACTTACCCTCGTGCTCTGCCTACGACATCCTTCTTTTCTAGCCAGTTCTGTCCTTCTTTGTACAAACCTCTGTCATCGACTTCATTATTATCACCTTTGGTCAAAAATTTGATGTTGCCATTTTCTCTGCAAGTAAGCAACAGGATAGGGAATGGATTAGTTGATAGCAACTAACTGTTGATAGCAATTTTGAAACGGCTCACCAACCACCTGAAGGTAGGGTCAAGTGATAAGATAGCAATAGGTACATATTGTCCTTCCTGTATTTTCAATAAATGTCCAGGTGTTTTAGGACTCCTGCTATCAGAGCTAAACAAGTATTTGGCTCTCCCCAGGGCCCATTACAGGTAGTCCTCAACTTACGACCACAATTGAGCCCAAGTTTTCTTGGGTCGGGTCCTAAGTGAGACATTTGTTAAGCGAGTTTTGCGCCATCTTACGACCTTTCTTGCCTCAGTTGTTAAATGAATCACTGCGGTTGATAAGTTAGTAACCTGGTTGTTAAGTGAATCTGGCTTCCCCACGGACTTTCTCGGTTAGAAGGTCGCAAAAGAGAATCACATGACCCCGGGATGCTGCAAAAATCATAACTGTGTCATAAGTCACATTTTTCATAAGTCACATTTTTCAGTAACTTTGAACAGTCACTAAACAAACTGTTGTAAATTGAGGACTACCTGTATTTACTACAGATAATCCTTGTTTAATGACTGGTTGCTTAGGGACTGTTTAAAGGTACAATGGACCTCCACAGAGCTGCTCGCGACCTATTTTCAAAGTTCCAACAGACGTCCAATGTTCACTTGATCACATTTTGAGCTCTTGACAACCAACTCAATTTAAGTTTGCAGCATTCCACAGTCATGTGACCGCGCTTTCTGGCATTTGTTTTTGCTGGTTTCCAGTCTTCTGGTTTCCACCCATTGAGGAAAATGGATTTATTTAACAACTGTCGGGTTCACTTAACAACTGCCACAAACAAGATACTGTAGTAAAATCGGGCATGGTCATGTAAGATAAGGTAAGTTTATTGTCATTTTTTTTACTGCGAGCACACCGGCCCACATTAAAAATGAAATTCTGCACTAAAGTGTGTATCTACCCAAACACATACTTAACATACATATACACATGCTATACACATAAATACCGTATATACCTGCACCATACATATACCTACACAGACACACATATCTTAATGATTACAATCTGCAACCATAATCCTGGGGCTTAAATTGTTAAGACAAGGACTACCTATTTAAGCCAAACAAAAATGACAATGCTGTGTAACAGCCAAGACAAAAATGAATATGCTGTGTAACGGCCAAAAAATAAAAAAGAGTATGCTGTGTTTAACAGCCAAACAAAAATGGTTATGCTGTGTAACAGCCAAGAAACAAAAATGAATATGCTGTGTTTAACAGCCAAAAACAAAATGGTTATGCTGTGTTTAACAGCCAAGAAATAAAAATGATTGGTTTAACAACAAAGATAAAGATAAAGATGCGGGGTAGTATAGCAAAAATAAAATGTGGTGGGATAGCCAAAATAAGGAGGAGTATGTTGAGATTAATAGTTAACATGAAATGAATAAGTTAGGTTTAATAACAGAAATAAAGATTATAAATGTTGAGCTCAATTGTAAGAATAAAATGATTATGTTGGAATTTAATATTTTATGAATGTTTATAATGATTGTATGATTTATACTTTAAAAATATATCCATCTAAGCAAATGAAAGAGAAAAAGGGAATGATAATTGGTTAAGATTTAAGATTTAAGTAACGGGCTTTTGGGGATAATGGCATAGTTAAATAATAGACTTGAGGGAAATAACTGAGTAAAATATTAAGTTGTATTAATTGAAAATTAAGATTTGTTAGTGATTTGTATGAATTTGTGACCGGATCAAGAGCTTTGTTTTGAAAAGATGTGTTTTATGTTTATGTTTTAAAATAATAAAAAACTTTTTTTTTTAAAAAAAGGACTACCTGTTTAGCCATAGAATTACCTTAAAGAACAATAAATGACTAGATTTCTCATGTTTACTTGGTCTAGAAAGAGGTTATCTGGAAAACAAGCGCTCACTATATGTGAAAAAAGATTAAGTGTCTAAATAAGTTATTCTGTTATCAAGTAAACTCCTTTATGCCATTAATCTTTCCCAGGTGCTTAAAACCAGAAGCTAATTCTTTGAGCCAGATTGAATGGTGGAGGCCCAGGTTTTATCAGTGATTATCAGACTATCAGTCTTAACTGCCTATCAGTGACTATCAATCTTAACTGCTTTCAGTAACTCGATATAGGCAGCAAAGCTTTCGGCCTCCAGTTGTTGCTGAACTGCATCTCAAGACTGCATTCCTTCCACCACATCGGCTGGCACTGCTGAAAGCTGAGGTTCAGCAATGCCTGGAGGGCCACAGATTCACCATCTCTGGCTTTTGGTGAGAGCTTAGGATCTGGCAAAGAATATGTCAATGAATATTCTCAGCCATCCCGACAGGGCTGTCTGGAAGTTTGAGTCATGGGAACTGGGCTTCTTTTTGGGTTTGAAAAGTTTTGCTAGTATCTACTTGGATAAACAGTGAAACGTTTCAAACCAAAAAAGAAGTTCAGTTGTCATGACTCAACTTTCAGAGATCTGACAAAGAATTTTCTAAACTAAATGGGTCAGGTAGCTAATTATGGAAACTACCGTTACCTATTATCCAGAAATGCAGCAAAATGGACAAACAATCCATTATATACCGTATTTTTCGGAATATAAGACTCCTAAAAGGGGGTGAAAATTTGGGTGCGTCTTATACACTGAATGTAGCCCTGCCTACCCACTGGCCTCCACCCTTTGGTCTCTGCCTCACAGCAATTTACCTCCTTGCAGCAAGCAGCAAGAAGAAACAGCCCATTTCAGCTTCAGCACAGCCTAATTTTTTTTTATTTAATTTTTTTAATTTATATGCCGCCCTTCTCGGGAGACTCAGGGCGGCTTACAATGCGTTAAGCAATAGCCTTCCTACTTTTGTATATTTTATACAAAGTCAGCTTATTGCCCCCACAAACCGGGTCTTCAAGTTGATTGTCAGGCTGCAGGGATTGCCATTGCCTATTGCTGCGCGGGCCTCTGCTGTTTGCTGCAAGGAGGTAAATTGCTGGGAGGCAGGTCTTTTTTTTGTTGTGCTAATCAAGCTATGCTGAAAATGAAAATGAAAGTAAAGCAGGCTGTTTGCTGCAATGAGGCAAAATTGCTGGGAGGCAGAGGCAGATTTCTTTTTCTTGTTTTCCTCACCAAAAAAGGTAGCTGCGTATTATACTCCGAAAAATATGATATTTATCAGTGTGAATTGTTGGGGAGATTTGCATTAGTCTACAGTGACCCAAAAAACAGGAGTTCGGTGGCACTTTTTCAGACCAACACTTTTCATTAAAAGGAGAAAACTTTTGTGAGCTACAGTTCACTTCCCCATTAGTTTTGCCATTCCATGCGTCAGATGAAGTAAGCTGTGGCTCACAAAAGCTCAAGTCTTCTATTGAAATTGGTTAGACAGTAAAAGTGCCATCAAACATCTTGATTTTCATCTAATATGGAGCAGAGAGGTCTAAACACGTCTCATTTTAAAGCTGTCGCATCACTCTGGAGCGATGTTTAAACAGTCATGTTATAAAAAATAATCTTTTGAAAATGTCACCGTGTTGTAAGGGCAATAACCCACTAGAAAAATCAGGTCTGACATTTGTACTACGAAGGATGCTTGGAAAACACCGATTTAGGTATTCAAGATGCAGAGGAAGGAAGGAAAACAAAATTGAAAGTGGCACTGGTGGCTCAGCAGACTGATAGCATTGTGATTAACACCAGCTGTCTGCAATTACTGTAAGTTCAAATCTCACCAGGCTCAAGGTTGACTCAGCCTTCCATCCTTTCTAAGGTAGGTAAATTGAGGACCCAGTTTGTGGGGGCAATAAGCTGACTTTCTATAAATATACAAAGTATGAAGGCTATTGCTTAACGCATTGTAAGCTGCCCTGAGTCTCCGGAGAAGGGCGGCATATAAATCAAATTAAAAAAAAAAAAAGAGCACAAAGTAAAGCCTGCCATACAGCAGTTAAGATAATGTGGATGCTTAAATTGCCAATGCTTGCTTTCTTCCCCATTCCCCTTAAATGTGTGTTTTATTTCCTTTTAATCCCAACACTCCCTAAAAGTTTCTGCCAGATTAGGAAAAAAAAATTTAAATACACAGAAGCATATCAGCAATTCAACTTTGCTTTACTAAAATTTAAGTTCCAATGTCTATGGAGATGCTCAGTCATCCAGGTCATGGTTGTCCCAAATGTGTTTTTTTCAAGAGGAAACTGGACTTTCTGGTTTTTCTTTGATGACGTTTTGCTTCTCATCCAAGAAGCTTCTTCACCTCTGACTGGATGGTGGGGAATTAAAGTTCCCACCATCCAGTCCTTTAATCCTTCCATTCCCCACCATCCAGTCAGAGCTGAAGCAGCTTCTTGAATGAGAAGCGAACCGTCTTCAAAGAAAAACCAGAAAGTCCAGTTGTCTCTTGAAAAAAGCAGTACCAGTATCCATCGGTATTCATCTGGCTAGTGTCCTGTCAGTGTGTGAGACTGTTTGGAAACTGAAACAGTATTTGCTGTGTGAGCAACAAGGAAGGAGACAGCAAGGAGCCTGGGTGTTGCTCAGGTCAATTGTTCTAAAGCTGCATGCTGTGCTGATCTCTGAAACTAAAACTTCTCCTCTGCTTGTGTTTTGCTTGCTGCTGCAAACTCTTGAGTCTTTGCAGCAAATAGCAAACAGCCAGGTCAGCTTCAGCACATTATTGCAGCCTGATTCAGCATGAGCAGCTGATTGGCGGGTGGATTGGCCTCCCGGAATACCCCCAATCAGCTGTTCCAGGCTGCAGGGATTGGCACAGACCATCGCGATCTCCGTGCCTTGCGTTTTTGGCTACATTCGGTGTATAAGATGCACCCAAATTTTCACCCTCTTTTAGGGGGGTGAAAAGTACGTCTTATACTCCAAAAAATACGGTAGTTTTATTTTTTAATATTGTAAGCCACCCAGAGTTACCTAAACTCAATGAATAATAAATAATTAATTTTTGTCCTGATTTTGTCCTGCTCATTTCCTCATCTTAACGCCACCCACTAACTTGGAATCCAACTCTGAAAACCCTCAGCTACCCAACACAGGCCTTTCTCTGAACCATTTTATCGACTGTACTTTGTGTGACCATCATTACTTTTCGTGAACTTTAATCACTCTGTGCACGATTGGAATATCTCTTCCTTCGACTTTGAAAACCACAATTTCTCCAGCTCTGATGGGGTCATCTCGGAAATTTGTCAAGAACAAGAGGTCTCCTCTGTGGAAGGCTGGTTCCATACTACCACTAGAAAAGGAGAAGAGAAGAATGTTTACAATTAACACAATCATCATCTTTTAATGACCCCACAATCCCTTGTGGAGCAGAGTCTGGGCAACTGAATGGAGCTGAGTGTTTACTGGCCGGATGCCCTTCCTGTTGCCAATGCGGAGTTATATTCAGCAGATATATACTTATCGTGCGCAGAGAGAGAAATATCTGCTTCTACTTAGGATCAAACTCACAATCTCCTGATTGTGAGGCAAGAGCTGCACCTCTAGGCCGCAGCATCACTCATTACAACGAACACAATGATTACCAAAAAATAAATAAGCACAGGATATTGGATGTGGTTTTGTGTTACAAGGCCTAAAATGTTTCCAAAGTTTGCCCACAACAGATTTAAATTAATCAAACTATCTCAACAAAGGAATTCTATAAAATTTTATCTAAAGGTTTCCTCTGTCCAGTCATTTCTGACTCTAGAGAGCGGTGATTATCTTTGTTTTTTAGCAGAGGGAGCCAGCATAGTTCGGAGACACTTCCGTGGTTAGTGTTTAAAATGATTATATGCCGAGATGCACAGAACGCTGCTACCTTCTCATCCAGGTGGTACCTATTTATGTACTCACATTTTCACACTTTCAAGCTGCTAGATGGGCAGGAATTGAGGCTTGTAACGGAAGCTCACCCCGTTGCGCGGGGTCTTGAACCTGGGCTGTCAGCTTTCTAGCTGACAAACTCAGTATCTTTAACTGATGAGCCACCGCACCCCCTAAAAATTTTATCTATAGGAGCCCAACATCATGGTACGTTATTGGAAAAGTCACAATAAATGCTTATTTCAATAGTAAGGAATATATGTGGAACTGGATTAAACTGTTGGGTTCTTGAGTGTTCTCTCAGTTCGGTCACTTTCAACCAACATCAATGATGATGTTATCCAAGCTTGTAATGAAATCTCTGCAGAAAAGCAACTAAGTTCAAGAAGTACTAAGAATCCAACAATACTTATTTTTAACATGTGCAAATTAGGGTGTAGGAATAATCTATAATCAATGGTTTCTCAGTCTGCCATCATCGTATATAAAAGAACACACATATGTTATTAACTATTAAGGCTGCTTAAAGCTTTTTATAGGAAGAAGATCAAAAAGGAATAGGTAGGTTACTATGACCTAGTCAAATTTCATAACACAGCTTATCCTAGATGGAATTTACTAAAAACAAGGGAACATATTAAAGAAATGATGGTTATAAAAATCACAACCTCCCACTCTTTTTTTTTTTTAAATTTGATTTATATGCCACCCTTCTCCGGAGACTCAGGGCGGCTTACAATGTGTTGAGCAATAGCCTTCATACTTTTGTATATTTTTACAAAGTCAGCTTATTGCCCCCACAGACTGGGTCCTCAATTTACCTACCTTAGAAAGGATGGAAGGCTGAGTCAACCTTGAGCCTGGCAAGATTCGAATTTACTAATTGCAGACAGCTGGAGTTAAATTACAATGCATTAGTCTGTTGAGCTATCCAGGCTCCTAACTCTCTCTTTCCACTCTCACTCTCTCTTTCCCTATTCCCAATTCGGGACAGGAATGAGACAAAAATTGAGGGCTGCCGACTACCCCAGCAAACAAATTCTTGATAAAGAGACATACCTGAGCACTACTACAATTGGACTCTCGCTCCCGGTGATAACAATAAGGCCTTTCCATATCATTAGGGCTGAAGACACGATCATGGCAAAATTTAAAACTTGGTAATAGAGCTACAAGAAAAAGAAGAGCAGAATGAAAAGAACAAATCTCATATAAACTCTTGGATCATATAATCACCGCTGTTGCTGTTATTATTTCAAGAGTCATTGTACTCATTTTCGGCTTTTACAGGATGCATCGCTGAACATCTCCAAATTCAAATATTGGGCACAAATTTAATTTTCACCCATACAACGTCAACAAAAGATCTTAATAACTTTAGATAAAGGAACCTCAACTAAAATATTAAAGAATATTAAATTGGATATGAAAAGTAGATCCAGTAGATGTAAATAGGTTTTGAGAACAGGGAAGCTGGTTTTATTTCGTGTATTGTCCTTTCAGGTTTCTAGTGGTTCTATAAGTCAAAAGACCATGTATTGCATCTATCATAATTAGAACTGATCAGAAAAAAAACCCTGCATTGTCCATAGATAAAAGTTTCCCGTGTCCAGTCATGTCTGACTCTAGGGAGTGGTGCTCATCTCAATTTCTTAGCCGAGGGAACCAGGCTTGTCTGAAGACATTTCCATGGTCATGTGGTCAGCATGACTATATGCCAAGGTGCACAGAATGCTGTTACATTCCCACTGAAGTGGTACCTATTTATCTACTCGCTGTCAGCGTTCCAAGTAATGCACCCATAGAAAGCAGCACTCCGAAGCAGGTAGATTCCTTGAAGACCAGTTTTATTGGATACATCATATTGGCACAACTGGTGAAAACCGACTCTGAAAGTTCCCGTGGTTTTCATCTAATTAAAGAGAAAGTTTTCCCCCTTTACCCAAGTCATCAGTCACATGATCCAATAGAGCAGTGGTGAAATCTCAAATTTGTTACTACTGGTTCTGTGGGCGTGGCTTGGTGTGGGGGAGGTAATGTGACTGGGTGGGTGTGGCCAATTTTTTTTTTTTTACTTTTAAAACCATTTTTTCTACAATCTCTTCGGCGAAGAGGTTGTAAAAAAATGCTTTCAAAAGGCTCTGATGATCCCAGCTGAGTTGCCTGATCGGCAGAGACTTTTTTTCTTTTAAATGTCTCTGACGATCAGGCAACTCAGCTTGGATCGTCAGAGGCATTTAAAAGAAAAGAAGGGTTTTTTTCTTTTAAAAGCCTTTGATGATCCCAGCTGAGCCACACGATCATCAAAGGCTTTTTTTTACTTTTAAAAGCATTTTTTCTGCCGAAGAGGTTGTAGAAAAAAATGCTTTTAAAAGTAAAAAAAAAGCCTCTGATGATTGTGCGGCTCAGCTGGGCATGGGGGAGGGGGCAAGGATTTTTGTTACTGGTTCTCCGAACCACCCGCCTCCATCGCTACCGGATCAGGCGATCTGGTCCGAACCGGGAGCATTTCATCCCTGCAATAGAGGTGCTGGCCAGTTGCTTGGTTACTTCGCTCCTCCTCTCCCAGCCACCTGTTGGAATGACCTTGGTTCCCACAGGAAAACCTTTTGTTTTGACTGCAAAACCCCAGCTAATTATTTCCTTCCCCCTCCCATCTAGTGGCAACCCTGAAGCCTCAAAGATGACCCCAGCCAGGTTCGCTTCAGGGTTGACACTCGCATTTGCATGCTTTCAAACTGCTAGGTGGGCAAGAGCTGGGGCAAGTAACAGGAGCTCACCCCATCACGTGACGCTCGGGTCTTAAACCTGGGCTCTCAGCTTTCCAGCTGACAAGCTCAGTGTCTTTCACGTATTTTAAGGAGTTACACCTGACTGCCTCAACAGAATGAAGAGCAAGGGGTTGAGTGACAAAGTGTTTCAGGCAGAACAGGGATATAAATAGATAAATAATTTTTAAATAATCTTTACATTCAATCGGCACCTGTTTCTTTCCTCAGAATAGTCACTCTTCCCATGATGCTGCATTTGAATAATGAAGGCAACAGTATGGCAGGTACACGGTTTAAGTAGGGCAATCCAAAACTGGTCAACAAGAAAAACAGCACAGCAGCTGGAGAGCCATGAAGTAGATCAGCGCATGGGAAAAACACGACATTAAGCCTTTCTTGTCCGCATGGGGTAGCATTGCAAAGCTCCATGCCAAGAGGTGGCCCAGTTTTCCATTTGTTTAAAAAACAAATGAATGGCTAATAAGGGAAACAGATTTATTGCCTTCCGGTACTAGCCCAGTAGAATGACTAAAGCAGACCCATTGATTTACAATAGCAATATCACTTAGACTTATATACCGCTCCACAGTGCTTTTACCGCCCTCTCTAAGCAGTTTACAGAATCAGCCTATTGCCCCCAACAATCTGGGTCCTCATTTTACCCACCTTGGAAGGATGGAAGGCTGAGTCAACCTTGAGCCTGGTGAGATTCGAATTGCTAAATTGCAGGCAGCCAGCAGTCAGCAGAAGTAGCCTGCAGTACTGCACTCTAACCACTGCGCCACCACGGTTCTTATCAACTTGTGAAAAGGTTATTTAGGACCAGCTCATGCCACGTATTTGTACCTATCCATAAACAGGTTCACGGTCCTCCCCAGAACTGGCTCTGAAAATTTTAAAAAAAACCCTCACACTTTCTGGAGTGAGAGAGACCTTTGCAAAGTTAGAAGTACTACAGCAGACTGCTTGATTCACACTACTTACTACCAACAGAAAGAATACATGCAGCTCAGGGTTGGAGTCCTTGGTGCTCTCTGAACTCGGTGGTTTGCTGGCAGATGTATACTCAATTATAGCCATAAGTGGAGGACTACTTGTACAACTACAACCATCACCATAGCACACAAGCCAAGCTCCCCCTTTCTCCTCCCCCAAGCCAAACATTTTAAGTAAACCAAGACACTCAGTAGACCAAGGAGACAAAGAACAGGAGTCATCATAAAGTGGAAGGACCATAACAGCCACTGTGTAGGACAAACTGAAGACTAGTAGAGCTCATCCATGAACGCCAATTAGCAGTCAGAAGACACCATGAAAATTCCTTAATTTCATAGCAGATGGACAATTTTAACCATAGTTTCAAGTGGGAAATTGTGAACATCCTAGAGACCTAAACCAAGCTAAATCGAAAATACTAGGGAAGCTTGTCACTCAGACAAATCAGCCATCAATAGACACATAGAGATAAACCATATTTACACATCATTCAAAAGAGATAATAAAGAAGTTAAGAAGTAAACAAAAAGATCACAGCCTCTTCAGCAGCTAACACCCAGATAAGCGGAGAGTAATACCAGACAAAAAGAGAGAAAACAATTACCCTAATCAAGAAACTATCACAGAAACAAACAATCAAGCAGAAAACAATATCTTATCAAGGAGAAAACCACATTCCCACCAGCATATAAACAAAGAGCAAACCTCACGCTCACTAGTTTATTAACTTTCAGTGGAAATCTGTGTTGCCCCAAACAGTGCTGATTCAAGGATGTTCAGGCAGCTGTGCGCATATGCCCGGGGAAAACATGAAGTCCGCAGCCTGCCAACTTTGATCTAACGTTAAGGTCATTCAATCTTTTAGAGAGAGTCAGGGGGAAGGATAATAATGAAAGTGGATGGGGCCAGCATGTATTTTCCTTCAGTTTTGGCACAAGGTATCAGCATCTGCTTAGGGAGTCAAGATGGCAGACGCAGCACTGTGATGCATGTCATGTCATAACGCCACTTCTACCATCTCACCTTTGGACTCAGCCCTGTGAAATGCCACTGGGAATTCTTGAAGTTGCCGGTGTTTGAGAAATACCGGATTTAAATTGTTTTTGCTTTCATTTACATTAAAAGACAAGTGCTTTTTAAAAAAAATAAAAAGGCAAACAACATAGGACATGTAGACTGTAAATGTGGGAGAGGGGAAAAAAAAAGGGGGGGGATTCTAGAAGCATCCAAAATCTGATCTTTTTCAATTTACAGATTTTCAAGACATCAAGATTTATGTAGGGCCGTGATGGTGAACCTATGGCATGCAGAGCCCTCTCTGCAGGCACGCAAGCTGTTGCCCCAGCTCAGCTCCACCGCGCATGTACGCGCACTTCCCACTGGCCAGCTGATTTTTGGGTTTCTGCTGTGCATGCGCGGGGCGCATGTGGGACACACTCACTCATGCATGGGGGCGGGGGGGTTGCGCATGCATGCACGGGGTGGGGGAGCGCGGGGGGTCACCTGCGAACATGCAGGGAGCGGGGGCAGCACAGGGGGTCACCTGCGCATGCGTGGGGGTGTGTGTGGAGAGCACGGGGGTCACCAGTGCATGCGTGTGGGGGGGGGGAGCATGTGGGTGTGGGGGTGTCACCAGTGCACGCGTGAGGAGGTGGGAGGAGCATGGGGGGTGGGGGTCACCAATGCATGCATGGGAGGTGAGAGGAGCATGGGGGGAGCATGGGGGTCACCAGTGCATGCGTGGGGGTGGGGGGAGCGGGGGCGGGGGAAGCATGGGGGGTCACCGGTGCATGTGTGGGGGGTGGGGAGAGCATGGGGGTCACCTGCGCATGCATGGGGGTGTGTGGAGAGCACAGGGGGTCACAAGTGCATGCATGTGGGGTGGGGGGAGCATGTGGGGTGTGGGGGTGTCACCAGTGCACGCGTGGGGAGGTGGGAGGAGCATGGGGGGTGGGGGTCACCAATGCATGCATGGGAGGTGAGAGGAGCATGGGGGTCACCAGTGCATGCGTGGGGGTGGGGGGAGCGGGGGCGGGGGAAGCATGGGGGGTCACCTGCGCATACGTGGGGGATGGGGGGAGTGCAGTTCCAATGAGCAAAGCCAATGGGGAAGTGGCTTCCTTGCAGGAAGTGGCAAGACATGGTTGGCTCACAAGCAGGCCTTTGGCCGAGTAAGTGGCTGTAATACCTTCGTGCTAGTGTAGTCAGACTGGGGGTGGCTGTTGCCAGAGACAGGAAGGGGTGCAACCTGTCCTAGGTTTCTGCTGGCCATCACCCCCAACTGATCTTCATTTTCTTCTTCCTCCCATTGCTGATGAGAATAGCCAGTCTGGCACTTTATGAAGCTGCAAGCGCCCCAATCCAGCCCAGCACTGCGGTACAAAGCTGCAGCGGCCTCAGCCCAGCTTAGCGCCATAAAGTCCAACGTTGCAGCACAAAGCCCCAGCTGCAGATGCCCTCCCCATCCTGCCCTCCATAGCCTGCAGCTGATCTTCACCATTTTCTTGCTCCTGCTACTGCCGAGACCTGCCCAGCTGGGCTCTTCGTGAGGCAGCTGCTGGCCGCACAAGACTTTCCTTCCTTCTTCCATGCCACTGCCTCATGAAGGGCTAGTGTGTCTCATCGAGAGTGGAAGCAACAAGATGGCAAAGGTCATCCAGGTGTCAGAGCACAGGGTGGCAAAGGTTGTGGAGTGCAAAGGGTCCACATGCAGGGCTGAGGAACAATGACCCTTTTATGATTTGTGAACTTCAACTCCCAGAATTCCTGACCCAGCCATGCTGGCTCAGGAATTCTGGGAGTTGAAGTCTACAAGTCATACAAGGGCCATGTTGGCTCAGGAATTCTGGGAATTGAAGTCTACAAGTCACACAAGGGCCATGCTGGCTCAGGAATTCTGGGAGTTGAAGGCCACAAATCACACAAAGGCCATGCTGGCTCAGGAATTCTGGGAGCTGAAGTCTACAAGTCACACAAGGGCCATGCTGGCTCAGGAATTTTGGGAGTTGAAGGCCACAAGTCATACAAAGGCCATAGTTTCCCTTCTCTGATCTAAAGCGAAGAGATGAGGGGAGCTACTTGGGTAGGGATTGTTAAAGGGTACCCTGTGGTCGTAAATGCAGGTGGGCTGCCAAGTGCCTGAATTCTGATCATGTGACAACAGGGGCATCCTAACAGCTGTAACTTTGAGGACTGGATATCAATGCCATTTGTTCAGCACTATCGTAACTTCAAAGAGTCGCTGAATGAATGGTCATTAAGCAGGGACTACCTGAAATTGAGAAGACATCAATTTCATTAAATTGATTCTGACTGTGGATACAAACAATTGTGAAACAAACAAGCTCAGTCATTGCTCACAAGCCAACATTGCATAACAAACTGTAACTCCTCTTTTACCTGGCGTTTGTTCATTCGCCGCAGGTCTCCAAAAATATCCATTTTGAGAGCTATGAGGAAAGAAAACAAAGATCTCATTCTTAAACGGGAGTGAGTGTGAAAATGCCAAGCGTTTTCTCACACAATCAACGGGTAGTCCCAATCCAAAATGTAATAAACAGGGCACGAGAGTTGGCACCATCTTAACAGTTGTGTTGGTAGAAGTTCAGTTGTATCGCTCCGTATCAATCCACTCCACCTATTTTATTATTTTTAGATTAAGCTGGAAATAGCCTTATTTGTTACAGTAGTTTCTTCCAAGATGCTGCCCTACAGATATATTTCCTATAAAAGCTCCAGTCAACACTTCTCTGCTCTTAATGAATCCACAGAGTGTTGCCCAGTGGCCCTGTTTAGGGTTACCCAGAGTCTTTTCAGGAAGGGGAAGGCCCATCTATAAGGCTGTGCAGAGGAATTTTCTGTGCATCTGGAGGATAAAATTGCTTTGATTTGTTCCCAGTTGGATACCAAGCATGGTGGAAGAAGCCTTGTGGAGATGCCTAGGGAGCGGACTGCCCTGGGTGCCAGTTTGCTTCTGGATCCATGCAAGGTGTAGGTTGTGACTTATAAATCCCTACATGGCAACTGGGCCAGGTTATCTGTAGAACCATCTTTGCCCCATTATATTAATCATCCCACTGGGTCAGGCAGGGAAAGTATGTTGCAGCCCCCGTCAGTTAAAGAACTCTTGACTGGTGGGGTGTAGGAAAAGAGCCATTGCCCTCTCCTGAGCTTCCGCAAAGGAGTTAAAACATGGCCCTGTGGGCTCGTATGGGGAGCCCAGAGGAGCATCCAGACATGTGGCTTGTTAGTCCTCTGAAAGCCGTCCCCTCAACTTTTCACTAGTTTAATAATATTTAATCACTCTTGCCTCCTCCTAAATTTTTAGAATAGATAGGTAGGTAGGTAGGTAGGTAGGTAGGTAGGTAGGTAGGTAGGTAGATAGATACTGTGTTTTCCTGAAAATAAGATCCTTATATTTTTTGAACCCTGAAATAAGCACTTGGCCTTATTGCCACGCTCTCGAAAGCCCGATTGGGCTTATTTTGGGGGAAACAGGGTAGATAGTTAGTTATATATTTTTTAACATTGTAGGCAGCCCAGGGTCTCTCTTTGAGGATCATGGGCCATTAAGAAATGTGAAAAATAAATAAAATAAATAAATAAAATAATAAATAAATAAAATAAAATAAAAAACACTGGCCATGCTAAGTACAGAATTATTCAGGAGTTATGTATAAAGGGCCAGACTGAAGGAGGATTTTTACAGCAGTTCTTTTGGCCATTACCACATACCATGTTGAACAAAAAAGTAATACTTTGTGGTCATATAACAAGCTTTATTAGTACTCTGGCTAAAAAGGTATATATTAACCCTTTGCAAGAGGAAGGAGAACAGGGACAAATTGTAATGCTCTTCTGAAGGGAAGTACACTTCATGGTGCGGAAGCAATGAGAAGGCAATATAAAGGGCCTAAAATCAGACATTCAGCTTTGACACAGAATTTTCTAAACGGATATATGAAGTCACTTTATACCATGAGAGGCCACTGTGGCATATCCCAGTATTATTTTAATTGCCACCAGCTCTTTAGTTGTTTCCGAAATTTGTTGCATGGGAACACTTTTAATAAGAGATACACTTGGCAGAAGGAGCTCAACCAGAAGGCAACTGCCTTTGCAACGTATGCTAAAACAAAGTTATGAATACACACAGATTCAGAAATTAGCAACTTTTTCTAACATGAAGCTAAGCAGCCTGAAAAAGCTGCAGAAATAATTCTGTTCAGAAATCAAATCATGGTTTCCAAGACCTCAGTGGATTGAATTTAATCCCAATGGTTGTAAAAGAAATTCAACTGTATATCTAAATTGCCCAGTTAATGCATACAGTGGTGGGTTTCAAATTTTTTTACTACTGATTCTGTGGGTGTGGCTTTGTGGGCATGGCTTTGTGGGTGTGGCAGGGAAAGGATATGGAAGGATAGGGATCGGGAGGGAATCTCCATTCCCTCCCGATCAGCTGGGACTCGGGAGGCAGAGAATAGATGGGGGCGGGGCCAGTCAGAGGTGGTATTTACCGGTTCTCCGAACTACTCAAAATTTCCGCTACCGGTTCTCCAGAACTGGTCAGAATCTGCTGAAACCCACCTCTGACGCATACCCAAATCTTTTTAATGAACTGCATCTCACAATCAACCATATCAGGCTTCCTAAAAGTTACACAACTTAAGTGCGGTATCTGATGTAACAGATAGAAATACTAATGGTGGTATGTATAGACTGCGAGATAAGGCTTGCTTAATCCGTTACTGAACAGTTGCTAACTGGCTGAATTCACAACTTGCCATAAGCAAACCACAGTACAAGTAGTTCATTTTTTTGTACCCAGTCAAATCTTGCAAGGCTCTCAGCACTGAACACTATGGCTGGGTTTAGACTAATGCATTCAATTTGGTGGTTAGACCATCAATTTCTTTAACTTGCTTAGCTTGAAGCTTAATCTTTATTGAGGTTTTCTGTGGTATAGCATGTTGCAGAAAACCAGTGTGAAAGTTTGCAAGGGAGACTGAGAAAAAAAAATGGGAAGAACAATCAACAAAAGGAACAATAGTTTGTTATCTCACATTCTGTCTCCATTTGATGGGGCAAAAAAATAATAACTAAATGACAGCTTAATCTGGGTTACAAGAAACTCAAGAAAAGATTCAAAACTTAATGAACGCACCAACAAGAGAAGCCTGGAGATTCCTGAAATTTTGGAAGGGAGAAGCCTTACCCTAATTTCTTTAAAACTGCAGATGGAGGTCTATGGAATTGTTGCTTCCTTCACCGTGCTCTGTGGGATGGGGCCAGGTGCCCCACCTGTTTGAGAAAGGTATGAGTCAGTCCCTTATACAAAGCCAAATATTGGGTCAATCCAGTCACCTGCTTCAGTGAGTTGCAATGGGTTCCCAGAGTGGATTGCACCCACTTGTTTCAATAGAAGAGAATATCTGCAGCTCAAGGTTTTGAATTGTGGAAATCTTGGTGCTCTCTGAGCTGGGCTGTCGACTTGCAGACATTTCATTACCCAACTAGGTCATTTCATCAAGCCAAATCCACAAATGCCAGGGAATTCACGGAAGCTTGGCATTCAGACAGATCAGTAAAGAGATGAAACCACATTTTCACAGCCTTCAGTGATCACACATCACATGTGTTTTATTTTGGCCACTGAACTTTTACGTGGTACCATTTAATGCAGAGTCTTTCACGTCCTTGTGAAAAATACGTAAACTGAATTGCATTTTAAAAATAAATGTACATCATTTAATCATTTGATTTTGATATTTTTATTAGAATATGCTTTTTTTTTTTGAAAAAATTTCGTAGTTTGCTCCCAGGAACTTCTGGGACCATGCCAGGCCAGCCTTTTCCTATGCAATCAAGTCACAGGTGATGATGGTCTTATTGCAATCCCACCTGATGTTCAGCAGCAACATCCAAAGCCTGGACCGCTGACCAGTTTGCGGGTGTATGTGGGTGTAGCACCAGAAAAACCCCAAGTTATCAGGGCGTGATCTATTGGGGTAGACTGAAAGGTGCTTTTTTTCAAGAGGCAACTGGACTTTCTGGTTTTTTTCCTTTGAAAACATTTCGCTTCTCATCCAAGAAGCTTCTTCAGGGGTAGAGCTCACTTGAGTGCCAAATCGGAATTAAGCACACCCAATGGTTGGAAATGCAACGTCTGCAAGCACACCACTCAGCTCGGGGAACACCAAGGCCTAAACACCCACTAGCTTCTCATCATCCCAGGAAGAGCCTTGGTGGCGCAGCTGACTAAGTGCTGTTAAAGTAGCACCAGCTGCCTGCAATTACTGCAAATTCAAATCTCACCAGGCTCAAGGTTGACTCAGCCTTCCATCCTTTCGAGGTAGGTAAAATGAGGACCTGGATTGTGGGGGCAATAAGCTGACTTTGTATAAAAAAGAACACCGCTTAGGGAGGGCCCGAAAGCCCTACTAAGCAGGTATATACAAAAGGTATGAAGGCTATTGCTTAACGCACTGTAAGCCGCCTTGAATCTCTGGAGATGGGCGGCATATAAATCGAACCAATAAATAAACAAACAATAAATAAATGATTAGAGGACTGGAGGCTAAAACATACGAAGAATGGTTACAGGAACTGGGCATGGCTGGTCTAGTGAAGAGAAGGACCAGGGGAGACATGATAGCAGTCTTCCAATATTTGAAGGGCTGCCACAGAAAGGAAGGGGGTCAAGCTATTTTTCCAAAGCACCTGAAGGCCAGACAAGGAATAATGGATGGAAACTGACCAAGGAGAGATCCAACCTGGAAATAAGGAGAAATTTTCTGACAGTGAGAACAATCAACCAATGGAACAGAAGTTGTGGGAACTTCATCACTGGAAGCTTTCAAGAAGAGACTGGACTGCCACCTGTCAAAAAATGGTGTAGGGTCTGCTTGGGCGGAGGGGTTGGACTAGATGACCTACAAGGTCCCTTCCAACTCTGTTAATCTGTATCTACCTGTATCCCCAGCCAGCCTCTCCAGAAGGTCCCATGGACCGCTGCCCATCCCGTCCCAAAGACTCCCACCTAAGGCAGGCTGAGCTTGGGCAGTAAAAGCAGGCAGAGTTTAGCCCAGAGAGATCCACCCCCACCCCAAACAACCCCTGCTGAAAGCACCCCCCGACCCTTCATCCCCAGCCCAGCCAGCCACCTGCTCCGCTCACCTTTCTCCCCCTTCCTCTTCTTCTTCCACCTGCCACAAGGGAAGGCAACCTAGGTCGGAACTTCTACGCGTCCCCCTAGCCCAAGACTGGGGGCAGCCCCACTTCCCCGCCTCCTGATCCAGCCAGCCGCGGTCAAGCAGGTGCCACCGCCGCGGACGTCGCGCTTGCCGCCTTCCGCTTCTCAAAGCCTTATTCCCATTCCCCGGGGATGCTCGCCAGGTCCGACGGAGCCACAGATTTGGCCTAGTAGGCATCTGGGAGTTGTAGTCTCCTCCCCTGCGCACTCGCGCCCCTCGATGGTGAGCGGTGAAGTTTCGGAGAACTACCCGTCCCAGAATGCAACGGGAAGCACAAGGCGGGCCTTTCCATTTTCCTTTTTGGTGTCCGACTCAATTGCCTGAACTATTATCCTTTCGTTAGGAGAATTGCTGCGGTGAGGTGCGATTTTTAAAAAAACGTCACAGAAGTCTGATAGAAAAGGAACGTGGGAGAAACTTTTCCGAGCTGATTGCGGGGAGATTAACTCGAATTCTTCTATCAGGCTATTGGGACGGCAGCTAATTATTTGTGAGGTTCTCCTACCCGTGTACATTGTTGATTGGAGAAAAGAAGAAGAAGGGGTGGGGTTTAGTCGAGATGAGTGAAGGGAGAGGAGGCGTGGCAAAGATGTGGAAGGCTGAGGGGGTGGAGCTAAGAAGTGGGCAAAGAAAATGCTATATATAGACTGAGTACTTGAACTTGCGAATTTAGGATGGTTTGTTGTGAGTTGTGGAAAAATCGACCTTTGTCTTAATAAGTTATTAAGTCAAGAAGTTAATAGTCTTAATAAATTAGTAATGTGTGTTACAATTATTTCATTATTTCATTTATTTTATTTAGCTTTGTATTTTATCGTTTAGCATTTATCCTGGCAGTAGTTAATCAAGAACACGAAGTGTCTTTAAGCATAACTCAGAAAATTTTGATTTATAACTCCGTTTAATTCCTCCACTCACACCATGATTGTGTTTCCTTGTATACTTCACTTGGGCAGTGAGCTTATCCATTTTCTGCTATTGCATAAGAACTTGAATCGTAACTGGATGAATTTTATAGATCATTGCAAGTGACACACCTACGAAAAAGTCGTAGCCATGTCTAACAGTGATTTTCGGTGACTTTGAACCAGTGACACTTTCTCAGCCCAATCCACCTCAAAGGGTTGTTGTTTTGGGGAAAATAGGAATATTAGGTATGTTCACTGCTTATATATATAAGGGCAAGGACTTGAACTTTCTTTTGGGTGAGGAAAACCCGGAAGTTCTCAAATTGATATGTATATTGTCAGACCTGGACATATACATATCAATCTGAGAGCTTCTGGGTTTTCTCACCCAAAAGAAAGTTCAAGTCCTTGCCCTTCACCCAGATGTCCATCACATGAACCAATCAGGTACCTTCCTAATTCTTCTCAGCACAGCTGCAGTGCACAATGGCCTTGACTTTCTGGAAAGAATGTTATTTTGACTACATAGCATCTTCACTTTTATATACATAAAAGTGGGATAAAAAATATAATAATAATTACAATAAAAATCTAATAATTGCAACAAGGTGAGAATATAACTGGAGATTTGATTCACATGAATTGTTTTGTGTCATTAGTTTTTTAAAAAATTGTGGTTTTTGATAGGTTTTTGCTTAGTTCTGCTTATCTTATTCTGTTGCCTGATTACTTTCCAGAAGTGAGAGGTTTCCAAAGGAAAGACACATTGTATTTAAAACCACAGACATATAAGGTCAAGGGAATGTTTTGTATGCCTTAAGGCAACCGGTTTAAATTTTCAGGAAGGGAAACTCTATTAAGCAGCTGCAGCCAAACTGATAAATAGTGACAAGGCATTAACTATTGTGGACTTCAATGCAAAGGCTATTGAAAGGCTAACATTTAAGAGGTGAAAGTCTAAAGGATTTTCATCTTCATTGCATAATATAGCATAAATAACTGTATACGGGAGTTGAACACCTGTGTCCTACAACACCTGCTACTCCATTTTTTTAAGCCTCTGGAGACTTTTAAACATATTTCTCTGTGTTTCTCTGTGTTGTAGAGATATGAGAATCCAAAATTGGCAGACAAAAGGATTTCTTCTTATTTTGAGGTAGAAAGTAAACCAAAACTATAATATGCTCCCCCCCAGAACATTACTGTCTTCCCCACCCCCCAGAACATTACTGTCCTTCCAGAGAACAATCTGGATTGATTTCCTTTAGGATATAGACTGATCTAGACTAGCACCAGTTTGAAAGCATCAAATCTTCAGCACTCAGCCTTCCTTATGGCCCAACTCTCACAGCTACACTTTACTACTGGTAACTGACTGACTAGGTGGCTCAGTGGCTAAGACACTGAGCTTGTCGATCAGAAAGGTTGGCAGTTCGGCAGTTCGAATCCCTATTACAGGTCTCCTGTGTGAGCAGGGGGTTGGACTAGATGACCTCCAAGGTCCCTTCCAACTCTGTTGCTGTTAAACTGGGTTGCAAAAATCCAGAGTAATATTAGGCAACAATATCAAGCTATTCTCTGTCTAGCAGAGGATTTCTATGGCATAGTTAAGCAAGTTCAGGAAGGCTGTTCTACTGGATCCAGGTTCACCTTTGGCCTGTCTCTTGGTACGTGTTTCTGGTGGAACTTTCCCAGTGCTAGGGAATTTGTTCTTCTAATTTGTCCTATTCCCATCTGTTCCATATGTTCCGATATCTCAGGGCTGCCACAAAGAAGAGGGAGTCAAGCTATTCTCCAAAGCACCTGAGGGCAGGACAAGAAGCAGTGGGTGGAAACTAATCAAGAAGAGAAGCAACCTAGAACTAAGGTGAAATTTACTGACAGTTAGAACAATTAATCAGTGGAACAATCTGCCTCCAGAAGTTGTGAATGCTCCAATACTGGAAGTTTTTAAGAAGAGATTGGACAACCATTTGTCTGAAATGATATAGGGTTTCCTGCCTAAGGGGGTTGGACTAGAAGACCTCCAAGGTCCCTTCCAACTCTGTTATTCTGTTAAAAATGGAGAAAAACTGCTGATAGATTGACCCCCCTCTTCTTTGTGACAGCGCCTTAGATATTGGAACGCTGCTATCATGTCACTCCTAGTCCTTCTTTTCATTAAACTAGAAATACCAAATTCCTGTAACTGTTCTTCATAGGTTTTAGCCAGGGATGAAATGCTCCCGGTTCGGACTGGATTGCCCAATCCGGTAGCGATGGAGGCGGGTGGTTCGGAGAACCAGTAGCAAAAATCCCAGTCCCTCCCCCCCATGCCCAGCTGAGCCGCGCAATCATCAGAGGTTTTTTTTAAATTTTTAAAAGCATTTTTTCTACAACCTCTTTGGCCGAAAAAATGCTTTTAAAAGTAAAAAAAAAAGCCTCTGATGATCGGGCGACTCAGCTGGGATCATCAGAGGCTTTTAAAAGCATTTTTCCCTTTTTTTCAGCCGAAGAGGTTATAGAAAAAATGTTTTTAAAAAGAAAAAAGCCTCTGCCGATCAGGCAAGTCAGCTGGGACCGTCAGAGGCTTTAAAAAAAAAGAAAGCTTCTGCCGATCAGGCAACTCAGCTGGGATGTCAGAGTAAGTAAAAGTAAAAGTAAAAAAAAAGCCTCTGATGATCGGGCGGCTCAGCTGGGATCATCAGAGGCTTTTAAAAGCATTTTTTTTACAACCTCTTCAGCCGAAGAGGTTGTAGAAAAAATGGTTTTAAAAGTTAAAAAAAAAAAAAGTTGGCCACGCCCACTCAGTCATATTACCCCTCCCCACCAAGCCACATCCACAGAACCGGTAGTAACAAATTTTACATTTCATCACTGGTTTTAGCCTACATTTTAGCCAGCCATTCTTCCCACGTTTTGATCTACACAAGCCACTGGAGGGTAGAGGAGAATGGTGGACATATGTAAACACGCAGTGCCTGAAGTTCTAATTCCACTGTGGTCTTCATAGATCTGGACAGTTATTGCTGCCCATCTATCAGTAAGTAATGTTTATCTCCAGGCTGTTTGCCTTCCAAAACACTGCTTGGTTTTGAACATCCAGCAACTGCTTAGTTGGGGGAAAAAAAAAAAAGGTTGACAGACAAGCTATACAAACACTACTTATTACATTTTGTAGCTGAGGTGAAGAGAGAAAGAGAAGGAAAAAAGTGTCCATGATTACAGAGAGAACATTGTAGAGAGCATTTTCATTTCCACCCCATTGTGCTGCCTTGGTAACTGCTGATAGAGGTGTATAAATCGAAAACGAAAGGGGCAGTAGTGGGTTGCCCCCGATTCGGACCGGTTCGCAAGAACCGGTAGTAAAACTGGCAGGAGGCTCCGCCCACTGACCCGGACGTCATCAAAGTTGATCTGCGCATGCACAGAAGAGCGGGCGTGGGCGCGATGCGAACCAATAATAAAGGTAAGTAGAACCCACCCCTGGAAAGGGGCTTCTTAGCCTTGGTAACAAGATGGCCACAATTCTCCAATTTGCTCTTCTGGCCTTCAAGCCGGAGAAAAGTTTAGAGGTTTGTGTGTGTGTGTGTGTGTGATTTATTCATCATTTATTAAACTTATGTAGGGAAACAATAATAAAGATAGAAAATAAAATACTGATATACTAGATTTAGTAAAAGCTTGTTATTCTGTAATCATTAGGTTCCTGTAACATATATATTGTGCTTTTGTATTTGTATCACATATATTATTCCTTTCTATTTGTATCTCCTGTTACAAACATATTGTCATTAGGCCTCTGAAATGTATCTGATATTTGTCAAACGTATGTCCCTGCCATTTGACCTGAACTCATATCTATCTCTTTCTGTGCCATCTAAAAGCATGGTACGTATCTCAGTTGAAACTAGCCATCAACAAAGAGATAAACTACACCTCAGTCCTAATTTATGCCTGATCTGGATAAGATCTGGTCTTCCAGAGCCAGGGGCTAAGTAGCCAATTAAGTAAACAAAGAAATGCTTAAGATAAGACTAATTGGAAGTTTAGATTCCTTTGCAGGGCAACAAAGAATACACAAACATAAATTAAGGGGACAGAGTTGGGGACCTAACTGGTGCTTTAAAGGTGTAAAAAGTGGTTACATCTTCTCTGAAGATGTGAACCCTCCCATATACATATCTCTTTGTATGTGTTTGGAATGGTTTTACCCAGCCTTTTGTCTTTGATCAAAGATTAAATGTTGATTCTTATTCAAGCCTCCGTTTAAGTCTTTCTTTTTGGTT